AGCGTGGAGTGTGGAGGCTGACGCATATCTACCTGTGCTTTATGATGGGTGCATGTAAGCAATTATATGGGCTTTACAAATTCCTGCGATTTATGGTTAGACGTTGCAACCAACTATATCTAAAACTGCGCAATCTTTTTTGTCACCTGTACAAAGGAAAACATGAAAAGGGGATTGTAAAAATAAAGCAGGAGTGAGAACGAATCGAGGCTCAACCGTTGCTATTCCCATGTATCGTGCGAGTGTTATTTGTAACCATTCCAGAAGAGCTAAATCAGTCTCAATCAGGGGAGTTCTTGGTAGTCAGCATTTACAGTCAAATTGCAAGTGCGCCCATCATTGACAAGGCGGCGAATTGCATACAAACCAAGTTCTTGACTTACCACAAACGCTGGCGCATGATCATTTTCGTCCTTGACTTCCACAAAGACCTTCCGTGTGGAGGGGACAGAGTCGTATCTGTGCCCCGTGGTAACGGCAACATCGAGGCTGAGAGCACACACTGTACCCAATTCGCCATTGTCAACAGGACGAATGGAGCTGAAATATGAGTTTTGAGTGTTCCGAGTACAACAGAGACCAGAGTCCACACACAGTGTGTCCCTGTCTACTGGCCGTCGCGTCACCAACATTCCTGTGCGCTCATCCACACGGAAGTAGCTGCTGACGGGACTTTTTAACAGCGCATAGGCCACAGTGCCACCAGAACTTCCTGGGACGATACTCATCGCATTGCCTAAAACGTTTTCCGCAACGACGTGGCCTTTCGGTGTGTCATCGCCAAGCACAATCGGCTGCTGGGCAGCCGGAGGGGCAGCGAGTGACAGTACAAACGTGATCAGGAAGATTATCGGTCTGTGGGCTCGGTAAGCAACCATTTTCTTGGAACGTAAACTAAAAAACCAAAGCAATACAGCAAGGTTCGTCAAAATACCTACTAAAAAGGTAAAATTGTTTCATTGTAAAGAATGAAATGAGGGCTAGATTGACTGAACTAACGATTATTCTTCCGCAGAAAATATACCGTTATGTTAAAATCTAGAGTATACCAATTAGACTGTAACTTTCAAGTCATTTTATGGACCAAATTATTCATAAAAATAAGGAGCGATCAAAATTAGGGCGTTTGGTCCGAGAGCTTTCCAGGGCGAATTGGCTATAATAAATGCTGCATAGAAGAACCTTGATTTCCCAAAATGAGCAGCGACTTTGCAAAAAAGTAATTTTACAATCAATAAATCTGAAGTATTTGTCGCCAAGTTCCAACAAGCTTTAAAGCCGATTCGGTGAGTCCGAAGAAGTTTTAAGTGATTTCTGTTATAGAGCGAGGGTCTCAGAAACGTCAGTACGACAAATCGACATGGAAAAAACACCAATTTTGTGAAAACAAAGTTGGGATTAAAAGAGTACACCGTACCAAATTTTGTACGCGACTTTCTCAGGGGAATTTGCACGAACACCACCCACGAGATTTTTTACATTTGATGTCTAAATTGACCCACTTAATCGGAGCAAGCTGAAAGTCCGTATCTCGACTGATATCGGTTAACGGATTTCTAAACGGGGATGAATGCTTTTATAAGAATAACTTTATAAATCATATCACTTAGCAGATACATTGACGCATCCAAACGCGAACATTAGAGTATATTGGCCATTTTCCACAGAGCACTTTCTCAGAGCAGTTATGACCGGAATAGCCAGTTTTATAGTTGACAAGATCTAGTAAAAAAATGTCATTTTCATTACCTCGTGCTAGGAAAACGACACGACCTCCCCAGCAAGCTGTCGGTTTCTGATGCTCTCGGACCTGAAGGCATTACTTATTAGTAGGAAGTGACTTCACTTCTTAATGGGTTGACGATTTGCGAGCGGTAGAGAGGTGGAGGTGGCTCTCCTTGCTCTCCCTATTCTCACCCCTTCCCCTTTGCCTCTCCCAACTAATCTATACCTCATTTCTGGCGCCAGTCAAGGCTTGCGTGCGGGAAAAACATGGGACAGAAAGAACCCAGGACAGACCACCACTTAATCTGATTATGGCATAATTCTGGCGCCGTTCTTGGCTCATTGGAATGCTACAAAATTATCACAATTCAGTCACCGCTGCAACTGAAAGCCAACACCCTTCACCCTACCTTAAGTTCTAAAACTTATTGTGTGACACTTTTTCTCCATTGCGATGGTACTACCTCAGTTTAAAACTATTTTTCAACATTTCACAGTTTTTCTACTAAAAATGGGACAGTCTACATGAGTTTGTCAAGACTGGAGAATTGACATCTGTAAATCCACAAACCCCTTTTTTTGTTTGGTAAATGAATCAGCAACCCATATATTTTGTCAGCACGTATCTTCACCTGCGAATCAAGAAATCGCAATCACTTACATGATTTTAAAGACACCAATAATGTTAGTTTTTCTTTGCAAGCAAAGCTACAGTGCTTACTCGAAATTATCCAAGTGTGGATGAATAGATCGCAATTTTGCAGCGGGGATAGCATTTATTAAAAACAGAAAGCGATCTTGCACCTGGTGAATATACTAAAATACCGAAGTATCAAACATTGGTGCACAAACTTGACAAATGTTACGATTCATTTAAATCAACCAAAACGGGAAATATGGTGTGATGTGATTCATATTGTCCGTTTGAGAACATTGCAGTAACGCTGTGATTGCTTGAATAAACAGTTCCACTGTACTGGGGCCACACCAACCACGAGCTAATGCCAATCCGGTTACCCTTCAGAACTCATGATTCTCACGCAGTCCCTCTGGAAAGACTCAGACATCGCTATAGATTTTTACAATCCTACATAGAAGTAACAATTTACTTAGTCTACATTGAAAAGGGAATTTATTAGTGACAACTGGGCTTGTTGTAGCACAAGAAATGAGTCTCCGGTGTCGTCAGTGTGTCAAAGGAACACCGAAGATTTTCTTGCGAGGTGCAAGCACATACGAGACTACAAAAACCCTGGTCTCTGAGCGAATGCAGCAGAAACGATGACAGTGACAACTCACTCTACCTGGCTACTGCTTTTCCTTACGCCCGCCCTTTCCTGCTCCTGTATCTCTAATTGGCCGACCGGCTTCAAGTTTTTTCCCAGTGCGCAAAGAAAAGAAATACCCTGCCTGCTACCCATACGTCTCACTCCTTTCCCTCTCCCTAGCCATCCCAGCAACGTCTTGTCACTTTGTGCCATGGAGTTTTGCTGTTTGGGCGACACAAAAACTCGACATCTTCCTCTCCTCCTCCACATACAAACAACACGGCGATGTCTCCTTATAAATTCGCTTTCTTTGACAAGTATCTTAAGCATTTGCTAATATTCGGCCTAGACAACGGATGCTAGGGCATTGGGGTAGCCACAACAACACCGTTGATGTAACAGGCAAGTCACGTCGTGAGATCCGCTTTAAGCATTGTATTTGTAAGCCTCATTTTTTAAATGGGAGTTAATCAAAGTCAGCCTCTCGGTTTTCAAGCAGCTCAAAACAAAAAACCACCCTGTCTGAAAATGTGGAACAAAATGCATTTAATAAAGTCAAGTAAAAAATTCCTCTTCATAGAAAAACAACTAAAGTTTGATATCCATAGGCACCAGCGAAATTGCATGGTCCGTTGTCCATGAAAACGCTCAAATATAAAAAGCAGCGCAATCGAAAAAAAGGAACTTTGTTGAATACCAAAAAATTTAGATATTTCAGTCCACAATTAGCTATGGTCTGATTTACTTTAAAAGTGATAGTGCATAAATGCAAACCTTGTTCAGATAAAGGAAACAGGGAACTTGGAAAGCCAAATAAAGATACCTACTCGAGACAATTCCATGGGAAATCCATTGATGAGCATTAAATTAGGTTTCTCAAAGAGGAACCTTCCCACCAGCGGCAGTCCTACTCACTTTTTCAAATGCTGACAAGCTAAGATGCTATTACCTTCCCTCCCAAGGTGTGTACCTAGGCAAAAATGAGCTTGGGTTTCACGTCGAAAGGGGGAGAGAAGACGAAGTAAAACAGACGTTAATTGTCCTGCTACGACAATTAACTTGGTATCTGAAAGCAGAGAAAGCATCCCTTTATTAAGCGTGCAGGGCGCGACAGTGGTCACGCAAGGTATGAAGAATGTCTTCACTGCATGCAATTATTGAAAAGTCGAGAGGCGCGGACACTAAGTCAATCAACAGCCCGTAAGTACTGATTTTTTTCAATGCCTTGCTGACAATGGGGGTTGCGTATTACATGAAGATGAGAGAACCTAGCCTGGAATAAAAATTCGCACTCAGGTCAGCAACGCGCAAAGAAGTTAAAGGTTGGGGGCGGTTGCGGCTGTAGTAACGGAACCAGCTGACATGGCTTCAAAGCTGAGTTGAGTAGGGCTCTGCGAACTCTCATAAGTTCAGTGTACTCTCACGGTGAACGCCAGTGAACAATTAGGTGATTCCTTTGATTTACACAAATGAGTCAAGAGGGAATGGTATAGGATCCAGAAACAGACAGCCAGTGAAAACTATCTTCCTTTGATTGTGTTGTCAAGTCCCAACATTGAAGATGATTTCCCAACCACCCAAGCAAATTTTACGACTAACAGTGGGAGAGATTATAGAATAGAGAAAGTGACGAATCGATCCTCAAACGCATAAACACTGCAGATTAGTCATTTACATCGGAGACTCTCAGATATCTACTTGTAAATAACGCGATTGAGAGGAGATGAGTCGCAATGCAATTATAACTCACCAATGAGCCCAGTGGCGACCCAATAACTCCAAATGCCCTTGTGTGTGAGCACGACCGAAATTCTGCACATTCACCCCACTCTAGGGGGGAGGGCGTGAGAAGTAGATTTCAATAAACTTTATCAGGGTGAAAGAAGCTCTGTGCATTTCTCTCAGTAAGCCTAAAAATGAGGTGGGATCAGTTGCAACACTAGCTAACGCCTGGATGGAAAAATCACACTTAAGCATGGAGAATAAAACTACTCCTGAACGGAGAAAACTAACCGGACTATTACCTATCAAACCCTCACACAAAATTTTATCAACCGGTAATTCATTCAGTGGAAACACATTATATCGCATTGCGGACAACCTGATTCTGGATCGCAAATTTGACATTAAAAGAGGCACACTCTAGGTGGACATTTGGCTTTGCATTCCCTGGGAAATTAATATTAATATAATATTTTTATCCACAAATTATGGCCAGAAATGTCTTGACTAGGTGTACGGGAATCGAAAAGTCAGTAACATCATCCGCAACAGCCGATTTTTGTGCTCTTACAAACTTCTACCATCCGCGCCTTTGAGAGTGAAATGCCTCCACCTTTTTCAAAAGTAGATCTGGAAAAAAACAATGAAATAGTACCTCCTACCACACGCACGTCAAATGCTGAAATGGGAGGTTTAAAGGCGTGATTAAGGGGAGGAAAAGTCAAAGGTTTTCAGCTAGACTCAAAGAGGAAATTAGAGGAGGAAGGCAAAAAGCTGAGCGGAGCAGTCTGCCCGAGAATGCTACTCCGGAAGACTATAAACCAAAATCAACAAGAGAAAGCGTTAAAGAACGGGTCAAACAAAGCACTGTGATTAGCAATGGCAGAAAAAGACCTTTTAATGAAGTGAGATTCCAGTCTTGTTCAAGCATGTAAAGCTAACGTTTTCAAAATTGGTAAACGCACCACTGTCCACCGTGCGGGTTAGAACAAGGGTAGAGCGGCGGAGACGGAGTGCAGAGCTCCACGCCCGTCGGAGGTATGCTCAATAAATGGCACACGTGCAAGCACATACGCATGCGTACGTATAGACACACATGCGAGCGCGGCCGCACATTCGCATTAGCTGGACGCACGCAGGAATGCACATACCTTGAGATTGTTCATGCCTCTGAATGAATCGCGGGGGGGGGGGGGGGGGACAAAGAGCGTGAATGGGTGAACAAACGTGTGAGTGCGTGAGGGAGCCACCCGGGTCTGCAAAGTGGGAGCCGTGGTGATGGTGACCTCGAGCCGAAGCGGACGGATAGCATGTTTATATGACTCAGTGTGTTTGTGTGCGCGCGTGAGTACTGCGAGTCTTCAGTAGGGAACCGACAGTAGCTCGCCTTATTTGACGCCCGCATCTTATGGCGCGCGATTCAACGCGCTGTCAAAAAATCGATCATGCACCAGCTGAAAGACTGCACCACAGTCTCAATACGAATGCGAACTCCCAAAACGAGAACTGTATATTAAAATATGAACAAATATTTGGTCACATAAAGTGAATCTGATTTATCCCCATAAATTGACATATGTTATAATAATCTGATAAAAAATGGTTTTTGGGGCAACTGTGGTTTTACATGGTAAAAGTTAGTTTACTATTTTCTTCAACTCTCTCTTATTTGCCTTTTATGGTTGGGCGGCCTTTCTCTTAGATCGTTCACATTCGCTGTGTATAAGGCTAACGTTAGTACATTTTGGTCCCCTAATTTACAGTTAAATTAAAACAGTTCATTCAAGTTTTAGGGGGGGGGGGGGAAGACAACTTTTTAGCCCATCTTAGTAGCGCTTAATCTCCTCATCTCGGCGTCATAGGTGTGCAAGGCCGACTCTAGAGTGACCTTACGGCTTGTGAGGAAGCGATAACAATCTACCCACCTCACTTATCCATGTGACAAATCGCATATCCGTGATTTGGAACAGAGATGGGCGATGCTGGGGTGAATCAGCAGTAGGAGCAAAATGCCTTAGAATCAGTGGGATCGAGTGACCGCACAAGTACCACAGAGGTACAAGTTCCATGGTTTACTGTTGTACACTGTGCCAAAGAACTTTTTCGCAATGAAAGGTTGTAGTCAGTGTGAACTATTTCCTGGATAACGGGTGTCAGCAGCACAAAACGGCCTATCATCACAAAATCACATTGTTCATTTGATACGTCTTTCAGGATTCAAAATATTACCAAGTAACCATTTTTAGAACCGCGTGTCCATCTCACACTCATTAATCCACAACTTGCTCACAAAAGCGGATGCAGGCAGTGGTAAAGTAAATATCATCATGTGTTCTGGAGTCTGTCATACGCGTGACAATAGATTTATATGCATGATGTGCCCAGGCTAAACACATATTTGGGATCAAATACTGTCTAAACATTTTTTAAAAAGACAGGTAAGTCTAATCTTGCTTTTGACATGACTTAATGAATCCGGAATTATTCACGTTCTGAACCATTGAGGTACGGTGAAATGCCTGTGAAATTATCCATATATTTCTGTGCATTTCATTACAAAGGGTGGACTTTGCTGGTAGAAATTGCAAGAAAGTGTAAGAACTGTGAAAGGTTAACCTAGCACACGTCACACCTATGTTATACAGCCGAAAGCGGTTTCTGATTGATACAATTTGCTCCCTGCTATGCGGTCGTCAGCGTAGTCAGGTCAGAAAGTGCGCTCTTCATGAACAGGCTTACCATGGCTACGCCCCCGCGGTAGGGGAACAAGCGAGTGGAATTGTCGTAGCATCTTTGATGTTTGACGCGCCCTGCTTTGTGCGACTGGCGGACGTGGTCAAAAAACTGAAGCGTATAAAACCACACAGTTCTCATTTTAAGAGTCCTAAAGTTTAGATCCAAGTTTGGTTTTTAGGGGAGGGAGGCCTTGGTTGCATAAAAGAATTGTAGTTCCACGATATTTCAACCGAAACTGAATAGCCGATAAACTTGACTAATTTCATAAACATTCCTTGGTGGTAGTTATGCAACAGCTGTTAGATTTCTTATCTTCAGGGTGCTGGTAACTATAAAGTTCCTTCATGGGATTTATCCTCCTTTGAATATCGATGAATCGAACAGGTTAGACTTCACTCATTAAAGTACCTACTACAAAGAGAAATTACTTACTTTTAATTAAGATTTTAACTTAAGTTGTTCTGGGCTATTGCGGGCAAATTTTTAGTTCCTGTTGGTGTTTTAGACAAGTAAGAAATTAACCAGGGAGTTCAGAGGAATATGAAGTCTCTAAAATTGCTTTAAATCAATAGTTTAAGCATGCAATACTTAAGCTATCAAGCACTCAGTATGGATGCCAAGAAAAATCACCAATCGAATTCTAAATTCAGACTAAAAACACGCAAAAAATATGATTTACGAGACCTCTGTGGCATAAAGGCTTGGTCCATACACGGTTTTTAAATGCTTTTCGTGATACTGCCCATTTTACTCCAATTTGACTAAGCTGAACAGTCAGCCTAGATTTACCCGAGAACGAAAATACTAAACAACCTCAGCCTGAAATAACCCAAACCATTTACCTTTACCATAATGAGGTAATTTGCTAGCCAGCAGCACAACTAGCCTAAATGGATTCGAATTCTTCCCAAGTTTTTCATAAGCGAACAAAGTGCAGGATTTAAAAAGTGGGTAATATCGTTTTAATTCCTGCTAAATGCTAAAAAAAAGGTCGCTTTATCTGAACATACAAATCGCGTTGAAAAGTCAGAGAACATACACACCTAGACGTCTAAGTTCCTAATAGTGTCCATTTGAATCTGGTTCGCAAGGCCATCAGGAGTCTTCCAGCCAAATACTGGTTTCGCATGTGTATGATAAAAAAAAATTTTTGCTGTAAGTGACGAAACGGGAATTTCGTACCTAGATGCGAATGAAATGAATGTCTCTCGTCCACTTTTGCAAACCTTATCGGTAAATCTTGTTAATGGAAATAAATACGATATTCAACCTCTAGGGTTCAGGAAGAGATGAAAATTGGCATAAAAAGTGGAAATTTGACAAAATCTGGTGAATAAATTACATTTCTTAACTATATGAAGAGTGTCTTTTGAATTCATCGACCAATGAAATTTCAAGGGGATTTCCGAGTGCACCTGAGCAACATGGAAAATGCACTTCAATTTCCCACATTCGTTCTCACGTTCAGTGGAGCTCAGGAAGCGCTGAGGCGATATGATTTTGCAATTTTCATAATGGGTAAGGTACTATTCACACGTTCAGGCCAAATGCGGAAGATATTTGCTATCATTATTGAGCTCTTAGAAGAAAAGAAAAAAAAATCCCTGTTCTATCTGTTAACACACCATTTCTAATTAAACTTGACATTCCATCGGACAAGCCCAACCAGATTAATGGTGCATAGAAAATACTTCAAATAAAAATGACATCTATTCAAGTTGTTTTGCAAGCCGAAAATTTCGAATCCATATATGCGCCACCCTCATCTAGATACTGCATTTTTAGAAAGATTCATCGCTGGGTAAATATTTTGAATTAACTTATAAGTTTAAAAGGGCCTCATTGACAATTTCCTTGTCACACCAGTAGCTATTAATAATGAAAACATCGTTGAGCTCCAGTGAGAAGTCCAGTTTCACTTAAATGCTTGACACTATAAAAGCACTTGAATGCAAAGCACTAGAATCATCCAGAACCAACACTGTGATTTTTCATGTTCTTCTTTTAAACGCAAAGAAAGTAGGGGGACAGCTGATTACATTTTAACTGGTCAAATTAGGGGTAAATTTATTTCTGTAAATAAAAGGACAGCAAAAGAACTTCGACCCTAGAATTTTGACGGCGGAGCTGCATATTAATACATGGTATAGTAAGCTATATTTCATACTAATGCTTAGCCACCTTTACCAAGCTGATTCCAGGACACTTTCTACGATCGATCTAATAATTTTTAAATCAAATCCTGTTCACTACAATGAGTGAAAATTTATGATGGTCGAATTTCCAAATAATAGCTTGGCGCATGCATTGAGGAAGAATTCCCAGTTGAAGAAAAGTCAGATTTGTGAGAACTTAATTAATTTTGACATTCCAACGAATTCAAATGCAATAAACTGTTTACGGTAAATGGATGAATCTAATCAACAAGTAGGCGTTTTCACACAGGGGCCGGTCATTACGTAGTAAACAGTGGTGCTCCTTTTGAATAAACCAAGGTCTTATTGAAACCCAAAGTAGACTTTGAATCATATTCTAGTAGAGAGCACTAACTGCCAATCTGTGAAATCAAACCTTTAGTCTTGGCTTTTCAATCACTATTACTCAATCACAGGAAGCATTATGCAGAAGGGAATCAAGTAATTTCAAATCTTGGACGCTTTTGAAGTCTACTATAAGAACAAAAAAATCCTGATAAAAATCAGATGAAAAATAGGAACTGTGTTTAATTCCACGTAATTTGCGATTTAATTTCCAGTAGAAAGGATTTTGAGAGGGTTTGGGAGAAGGTTATTATTTAGAAGTACTGACTTTTTAATTGTGAAATTTGGCAAAAAGACTCAAAAGGAACAATAAAGCAAGTGCGTTAGAGTTTTGAAAATTTTGAAATTTGATATTGCTGAGATCTCGTGCCTTTAATGCCTGTGTTCAAATAGGATTTGCATTGCATTTGTACACATTTAAGCCCGTCGTTGCATTAACAAATAAAGTATTAAGGTGAATGGATGATGAGGACAATTGGATGAAAAGTAAAATTATGAGAGTGACCAATGGTAAATTCCATGTTGCTTATTCATCAAGATTTGGAATTATGTTGGTTTCAACTAATCGCAATCAAAAACCCCAAATCATAAATGAGAATATCTGCACTGTTCAAATTACCTTTGATTACCTACGTGGCTTCTGACAGACATTTGGAATATGCAAATATCGTCAAATACTCGCATGGTCAGAGTGAGAAAAGACGTAAAGTGGGATTAGGTGGGTATGAAACAACTTTTATCACGTCTTTTAAGACTTTGTACACACTTCGTGTGCCATGCCCATATTGGGATACATAATGCTAGGACTTAAGACAGTGGCTGTGGCCAATTTGCTTTAACTGCAATTTGATGCAACTTCAGTTTCATGGATTTTTTATTCATTTTTGTAGAGGTGATGATTGCAACCGCGATGAGCGGCCTTAACAACCTAAAGGTTTTCTTTTTTCAAAGCAACTAGTCAACGCATCTACAAAAAATAACGAAAGTTGTCCCAGAACGGAAATCGGACCATTTTTATAAGGTTTTAAATGTCAACAAGAAAAAACTTTCCACACTCGATACACAAAACCCTTGCACGCCCTGGGAAACCCGTTAACTCGTTAACCCGAGAGACTGCTCTTCTAGTCGAAGCCACACAATCCCCTTTCTGCACCCAATTTTTGACAAAACTCTTTTTACAATTCTTGGATCTGCCTTGTCTAAAAGCTCGCTATTGAAGAGTTTCTTGAAAAGCGCTAATGCACAGAAAACAAATATGCAGTCGTCACTTGAGAACCAAAACCAGCAGCGATGTGAAAACAATCGAAAAGGTGGAATGGTAACGCAAAACTACAAGTACTTAAATGGGGAGGGTGAATCTTTCCGAGAAGGTAATTAAGCTGAAAAGGCTTTTTCAATGTGGAACCCAATTAAATTTTTCGAGTGGGCAGATTAATGTCTATTTCTAATTCTTAGAATTGTTGCTGAATTTACTCTTCCAAACACCAATAAAAACAATAAAGTTCCGTGGCATTGCTTCAGGGCTAATCAAAAATAAGTTTTTTGCATGGATGCTTACGTTGTGCTTGGTAGTTTTAGTTTTTACGCCTAGTGTTGGAAAGAACAGCACTTCAAAATACGAAAATATACTTGTCAAGTGAAACTACCCTCGGGGTTCTTTAAAAAGCGACAAACTTTTATCACGAGTGCGGCGAGTGCTTGAGCTTTCCTCATTTAAAGAGTTGTCCCACTGCTCCTCCAGTTTAACTTCAAGCATGGAAGGCGAAGAAGGGGGAATCCAGGAAAGTATCCGCAGCTTAACAAATTAATGCCTTTTGTGGAGGCCGCGAGCCTTATCAATAAGACTGTGAAATTAATTACGAGTTGAACCTCTATTCTAAAAGTGATATTGAAGGCAGTGTAAGTCATGAATGACGAACGGTTCAATAAAATATTTAAGTCCAATGCTTACGCAAATTTTTTAAGGTTAGTAATTGTGAGTGACTATGGATGTACTATCAAATTGGTCCATCTATAGACTGCAGGTGCAAGGTATTGCGCCTATTCCATGCAGAGCCAGGAGTAAGCCTGTCACTTTCCAGATGCTGGGGTTAATTGCCTGTAATCACAACAGCTTCGTCAAAAGATTAAAATATGGTATGCTGGTGTTATTTTCGAGTGCCTAATTTAATTCGAATAGGATTATTGATAATTCTTCAGAATGGCCTCTTTAAGCTTACTTAAAATCTGTTTGTTTGACGACAATTGAATAAGAATGAATAGTTTTTTCGATATGTTTCACACCGTTGACACATGTTATTTTATCGCGAACATTTACAGCTACGGGAGCTGCCTTGGTTACGCTTGGCGAAATTCAGCAAGCGATCAAATACACTAATTACAGGGCTGTGGTCATGAAAAAAAGTGGAAAACTGAGGCAGTCGATGTATTCTTAAACCTTTTTAGTAGCTCAACTGTCAACCTGGATTCGAAATAAAAATTGGGTTCCACCATTTCACCTGCACTCAAGCTAGATATTATGTTTTTAAAAATTACTTTAGTTCTGACTTCTCATTTTTTAATGCCAGCGATCGCAGTTATTGATAACCTTTTAGAGGCCTTTCTATGCATTATGGTCAATGACAAACTCACTGTCGACCGGAATTCGTACTTGCTTTCCGACTGTGGGATTACCAAATATTGTCGCATAAGTTGATTGCTAAAAAGTTGACTTAAATTTATTTTTTAGTTCAAAACAGTACTTTAGAAGGAGAAAAAGATAGATCGTCTAAATGTCAAATTCAAAGCTATTCAGTTTGCAATGGGCAACACTGTAAGGGTGAGAAGAGACGTGGGCGTTCTGTAATCCAATGAATACGGATTTAAAAATTATTTGTGAATCTGACTTATATAGCGCACCTCAAAATTATGTGAAAAATCACCTGCCATGCACCTATAGAATCAGGAACACTACAATCGTTGGTGATGTTACGCTGGATGCAGTCTCCCCGTGTAATCATCATTTGTGGCCATTCGATTATTTTTTCCTATTTTATGAGGATTGAAACTTCTTTAAGGGTAAATCTAAAGTTATCAAGAGGACTATTTCTTGTCTAAACAAACGCTTTCAAATATGCTTTGAAGTATAAACGATTCGGTAATTTTTTAACGGACAGAAGTAAGTTGCATTTATATGTAGAGAGGGCATCAAATTTGGCAGATTTAAGAGCTAAGATTTTGCAGAAAAGTAGATGCCATCTTAAAGTGGTAAGAAAAGTGAACGCCTTCAGGTTAGGTTTAAAGATTGGCAAAATTTGGACACTATCAGGTGTTTGAGATTGCACGTCAGCCACAGTTCTCGGTAAATTTTCCAAATCGTTTTAATAAACGCCGCTTCCATCAACAAAAAACGACCTGAAAGATGGAAAAGCTAAATAACATTTGCGGATTAGGTCTGTATGTAGAAATATATTCGCAAGATTCTGAGCACTAATGATAAAGTACATTGAAATCAAATAGCTCTAGGAAGACAGCCATTGAAAAATGATTACTTACTAAATGCATTAACAGATGAGAAAATTCCTATCCTTTTCCCATTTAGTATTTGCAAAGAGTGTCCCTTATAAGACTCATCAAATTCTAGACTAATTTACATTCTGTTGACTGCTAAAAGTCGTAGCTGTTTTTGAACAAACTAGATCTAAAAAGTCATCCTTAAAACGTTTATGCCGATGCAGATTGCGAATTAATGTTTGATAATGTACAAGTAAGTGCTTATTACCCCCACCATAAGAAAACAAAACAAGATATGCTCCACCTACTGATTATTGTTTTAAAAAAAATCTTTTAGACTTAGCAAAGAAAGACAGTATTACGGTGGAGACAGGGGAGTTAAACATCTTTGCAAAATTTTTGAGGCAAAATCCTACAACACTCGGCAGGGTCATTACTTAAGACAGGAGGATATTTAAGCGATTTTTGTTAAATTATATTGCCATTTTCTCCCGCCGGTATCACTCGTCCGTCAACCTCCAACGCCATATTCTACTACCTTTATGCCGAATTTGTAAAACTGAACATAGTCCAACTTTTCTGTGTCGGTTGCATGTTAGGTTACCTTAACGGAAAATTACAGGGTGCAGACTACCTACCATACGAGCTGACTTTCCAAAATCACTTCAGATTCAGGCTTATACATAATTATATGCTCAGAAAGATGTTCTGATCCAATAAACATGATAATTACTACTTCAGCACTTAGATATTGAGGATTTAGGGAGAAGTGGGCTTTGATGAATAAAACTCTCAGACTGCTCCTTGAATTTGGATTAGTGCAAAAGCGTGGTCCTACATAAATAGCTAACTAAAAGGAAATTTCAAGTGTTATTTAGTAAAACAAGTTGGCATTTTATTTACCGGATTCATAAGAAAGAGTATGCCAATTACCTCTACGAAACTTCGCAAATAACCCTTAAAGACTGTTGTTTATTAAAGCAGGGTTTCCTTACTGATGTCGTTCTTGCATTATTGATAAAATCCCCAAAATTTTTGCCACAATAATTCACCTTTACTGCAAATATCTGACAAATGCTATATGTCCAAGTATTTCCACATAAGCCCTATAAATACTAACGTATTACACCATTGTAAATTTCCAGATCCAACATTGTAATTGGATAACCAGCTAGATTCTATTACGACCAGTATTAGGGAGTTTGAACATACCGATAAGGTGTTAAGGGCTGATTGGTCTTTTGGTACTCCGGTTGACTAATTGTTGGGAGAGAAAGAACGATCCTCAAGGCAAAAGCCTAATTAAAATAGTTTATAGGATGTGATAGTGTTCAGTGTTTGGTTCCGGTTAGCGTTAGTGAGAGGCCAATCGGAGACCGCACAGTACCTGATTGGCTCAATGCAACATCAATACACTTTTCAATGTGTACTAAAAAATCCAAAATGGATCAATAGTTTGATTTGCTGATCCCCCGACTTCCATCAGAGAACACCCACAAGGAAAATCGGGTCTGATTCAATTTCATTATAATTTGTGGCTCTTTGGAAGGATGAGAATTGCGTCGTCGATGACTATATTTACGAGTTGAAACAATTGTTTACAGTAAATAAGATGCGTTTAATCTCAAAATACGATTAAATAAGCCATTTAGCACTTCAAAACAAAAAATGTATAAATTAGATTATCATTGCGTACCTACTTGTAGCTTCAGGTTAAGAAGGTCCAATCACGACTTCTGATGATGTCCATTAAGTAAGTTAAGAATTTGTAAAACATGGGTAATTGTGCCAAAATAAATAAATCTAAGGATTAAAAAGGCGTTTAATCACCGATACTAATGAATGATAAGCAGTTAGTATTAAGAAGGATCATTTAAATGCATTTAAGGACGATGTTGCGAAAACCAAGCCAAATTGAATTTAATGCACAGAGTATTCATTTGTAAATGTTATAAAATCGAATGGACCTTTAACATACATGATGAAAGGGAGGTAGAAGGATCCTCTTATGAAAAGCCAGCTCCCTATAAGCATTTTTAAATAGAAGGTAAACACTCGAGACAACATCTGGAAGCTACAATTATTTACTTATGATATGGCTACAAATAGAATGGCATCTTGGGAATGTATCCCACCGTTTTATTGTAAGTATAATTACTTTCTTTAAGAACAAAATGAAATGACAATGATAAATGGGAAGAGTTCTATAATTTTTCGACTATGTAAAAAGTGTTGATAATGTTTAGTAGGAAAAGTGTATACAAGGGAACCATGTAGATGGATGGTTTGATTTAGAGACTAAGAATTCGCATATTTTTCATAATATCATCTTAAACCAACCTAGGTGCAAAGCAATCGTACACGCAGAGGATTGGCAAATCTGCGTAAATGATTCTAGGCTGTTTTCATAAAGTAGTGAGTCCATTTATTAAAATGCGTGAGACCTATGTATTAGGAGGTAATCAGATATCTATTTCCGCCACCGCGCATAGGGTCACTTCCTGAAAGAACCCTCTGTCTCAACATCCGGTGTGCTGTGAGTGCATGAGTCTAAAAGCTGTTTAATAAATGCTAGAGCTAAGGGATGGCGCAGGGAAGAAGCATTCAAGGTACAAGTCCTGCAATCTTATGGAAGTTTCTGTGAGAATCATTTACTATGGAAGCAAACGCTTCGCAAGATATCCTCCTTTAAAGTTTTACCAGAATAAGGATAAGCAGAACAACTGGTGGAGTTTTACATTCTAGCGTAAAAATGAACTCGATAATATAATAATAGTATATTTCAACATAGGAATATTGAGTCCAATGAAATGTTAGGTGCGGAATTTCGTTTAGCTTTTCGGTTTTATACAGTAAGATAAGGCGAAGAGCAGTAGAAAATGGTCTAATATCGTTTGAGAAAATTGGAATGAAATCGTTACGAATATGGGAGCGCTGATCTCGATTTGGGAATTTTGTTACATCAACATGAAACTGTTCCCAACTGAGGTTTGGTAGAGGTAGGTAAATGCTTTGAAGGAATACGAAGGTAGAAGTTGGCTGATTTGCGGCTCTTGACACTGAGAATTTACCATATGATTCTCAAATCTGACTTTTGAGTCAAAACTAACTATTCAGTAAAACATTAGTAAACAGCGTCAATTTATGCAACTAGCCTTCCATAATGTGAATGAGAGATTTGTAAATTAACAATGCCTCAGAACGGAGAATCTAAATTGACTAAAATAAATACTAAAACCAGTGTTTTAACATTATTAATCATGATTATTACTACAAATAACAACCAAGTATTTGGCACATATACTAAGGTTTTTAGTCGCTTAACAGCAAACAAGACAAATGACCTATTATAGGTTGCAAGAAACGGGACACTAACATTAACACAAAATGGTGTTATAATAAGTAATTGTAAAAGAGAAATAGTTTTGCAGTTACACTGATTCACATTTGCATACAACGTTAGCGTATCTCCTGATCATTAGGTGCGTACATGTAAATACAATCGTTACACCAAAAAATAGTCATAAGATATGTTTGTCGAAAGTTTTGCCATATATTGTTTATAAATTAGGCTAAAGGTTGAGATAACTTTTATTTAACTCATTTTGATAATTTAGTGGCGTTGATTCAAAAGATCACGAAGTTTTCGTTTTCGTTTACCATTCTTCCATGTGAATAGAAACATCGTGTAGACACAAGTCGAGAATTAATCCGGGTGAGAATTGGAAAATGCTTTGAATGCTTATGAAAACTCCTTTAAACCAAGTTGTAGCATGGATGCTGTTTGGGTGTCTGCCATTAATTTAGCCTTTTCACAAGAATGCTTTTTTGCCTGCTAGATCTCTTAATATTTACGAAGAGTGCATAGTCTAAGTTAGCGGCGCTATTTAGGTTCTTTGTTGAACGAGCCCACCGCGATGTATTCTGCGATTTGACTAAATTCCCTTGTACATGACATCGTTTTTGTACTTTTGAATTAGCCCAGTCCCTACTGTAAAGTCATGTGTAAGTGTATTTTTACATAAGGGTCCTATCAAGTAGTAGATACTCCAAATTTGTAATCAATTATCCCCATTTTTCAATTACCTATCAAATTATGTCACCCACTCTTATAAGAACTAACTATTCTACTTGCTAAAGTCGGTTTATTCTTAATTAGAAATGGATGTCTAAGAAATCTTATCTCGTCGTATTAAAAGCCTTTTATTAAAGAAAGCTGTCAAAGGTGACATGGAATTAACTTATTTTAACCAGGCGCCTTCTCATCAAAAGTTACTTCATTCTGCACCAATTAATCGACCACCTCTTCTGCCATCCATACCAAAAGCTGACGATTTTGGGAAGTGTCAGGTTGACATAATGGCAGAAAACTTGGCTAGAGAGTCCCTTGAAACCTCTTCGGATAGGTCTGTTCTCGATCCCGAGGACAATCTTTTTGAAATATTCCCAGACAAAATAACTCTCAACTCTGCACTAACTTCCTTCTTTGCCGATGAATGTGGGGTCAAGGAGAAGGAAAAGGCAGATTTTCACTCAAAAAGGTTGCACCTTTCGCAGAATTTCTATTTTATGTTTACGAAAGTCTGTATTCCACTTTCAAATAATATTTTATAAATATTGCCTTATATAGTTTTGGTTAAATGTTTAATTTATCTTTAAAACCGTCAGTATCTGCTTTGAATAATATTACTAGTAAAAAAAGAACACGTGGTCATGGAACAGCTCACAGAGAGAATGATTTTGACTCAGGACACAAATCGTTGTGTCTGCCATGCGCAGAGTTTGGCGAAGGTGGTTTTCCATTGTTTAACGTTTTCATTTGAATTTTGCTTATTACTGGCTGGAGACTAAGAAGAATGTATCTCAAATTTAGTAATGGTAGAGGCAAGTAATTTTTAACTAAAATAAAATTGTACCGAAAGATAAACAAAAAAGGCAATTTAGCGATATCTGAAACACTAAAAATGAAGTAGCAGGAATGAGTTACAACAAAAAATGAGGTGGTTTAATTTTTTCCTTAAATTCATACTTCGACTTCCCTATAACAGAATTGCAGAAGGCTGCCCTACTGGGAGACATACTTGCTCAATGGCGACTGAGTCGGAAGATGGAAAAGTCTATTTCGCCCAAATCTAGTCGAGAAAACTTGGAAAATCTGCTCACGTCTGTGTTGACCAATAAGTCATCCGGCAATCGAACCCTCACCCATTATAAACATCGCGCTCATCCATCGCATTCCCGGATCCTTAAGTATTTACCTTCTCTAAAACAGATTTTCTCCACCCCTTGCTCACATTCATTTTCGTTCACTCACAGCGGTTCAGTTCCCGTCTCTTCGAGTCAACAGTTAGCATGTCATTCCGAGGAGAAGTCCAGATCAATAAGTCCTCGATTTGACTCAAGTTCACGAGTTCGTTTCATTTGAAATTGTGCATATGTGTAGTAGTACCGCCATTTACGCTACATAAATTGCCTTTAAATTAATATTTCTATTGAAAAGCTTTGAGTAGTAGGTCATATTGCCTTATGTGATTTTTATAGTTGACGGCCGTACTTAAGGGAGTTTTTCAGAATGCGATCCCCCAGTATAATGATCGGATAACTCCCCAAAAAATCAATTCGTGCGAGACGGGCATACAGTGCTGCCTTCTGGTATTGGACAAACTCTCAGGGTAACACTTTTTTAAAGAAATGAGGGTCTTGTACAGAGTCACGCACAAATGAGATTTTTCCCCGACACTTCATGGAGAATGTAGTCATATCAAGTGAAGTCATTAATTGAGATGCAAAATAGCTGCCTTTCTGATCAACATCTTTTAAATACATTGCAAACCGATATAAAAGTTAAGGACAAATTTTCATTTGTGCCTCCGTCGGCTGTAAGACTACTTCATCCTAATTAAATACGTGTTTAGCCGTATCATGCGGCTAATGAAGAGATTTTTGAACTTTTTACAAACACAAACTATCGTTATTCGAGACCGGTGGGTGTTCAAACAAAGTGGCATCTGGTAAACACTTAATCCTGTTTTAAGTGCTTCCAAAAAGACCCATAAGCCTCAATCTCCTCCTCCAACCAGTCAACCAATCAATCCTCCAAGTCGCTCGGTGGGCGTCCAACCTCGTTTCTCAAGTACGCTCACTTCGTGCGGTTGCCAGACTAGCCCTCCATCTAAGCGCCGCATTCGTTGCTCCATTGCAGTGCAATGCGATACTCTCTTCTCCACTTCACTACCATCGTATTCGCAGCCCGCTTCTCAAGAAGTTAGATCCTTCACCACAAGTGTTATTCATTTATCTAAGTTTCCTTAGGGTCATAACTTTTCATACGAACTGAGCTAGCTTGGACTGGGAGTTTTGGAAACCATGATTGATCTAACGTTCAACACTGAGTACTAATAAAATCTGCCTCTCGGTAGACCTTCAAGAGGTCGGAATCAGCCCTCTTAATCTAAGTCCCAAAATTAGATTTTCTTGATTAAAATATTTGCAAGTTGCTATCTTTAACACTTCATTTTACTGTTTAGGTCACCCAGATTAATCATGATGGTTTAGTTTTTGAGAATATATCTTAAAACAGTGGATAGCGTAAGTTGTTGGATAATAAAAGCAGAATGTCTCTAATATGGACCAAAAAAAACGCGGAAAATACAAAACTTTTTGATGGATATTTCGATCCTGATAATTCCAATTTTAAAATATCATCAAAACGGGAGATGTAAGCCGGCACTTGGGGTAATATAAAGCGAATAAGTGATGTAGTTGCAACAAATACACTCGTCGCCAACTGACTATGAAGCGGCAAGCAAGAAATAGTGCTTTTGCTATTTATACAAGACCAGAATATTTAAATTAAGTAACGACAAAGCAAAAACTTGATAAATAATAGATAGACTAAGTTGCATGAAGTTAACGAGCAGCTACTAAGAGGATTCCCATTTGTCATTGCAACTTTTGCTGTTAGAGTTCGAACAAACTTGGAGACAGGGTATATGAAAAGCAAGGAAGTAGTGGTAAAACATGATTTATTCTAAAAAAACATGTTCCTAGGTATTAGACTTTATATTCTCCTTGGGAATGAAAAGATGGTAATGATTCCATGATTTAAGAGGTTCCCTTTCTGTGCTGCAGCTAGCACTGATTAGTAATGCATTTTTGATGTAGATATGAAGAATTCTATTAGTTCAGCAATTGTTTTGTTTTACAGACCTACAAAACACGAAATTGCGCGGGGGTAGATTGCTTATCAGTAGCCGAGTTCCCCGGTAATACTGGAGCGGAGGGAGGGGAAAAGAGGACGGTGAGCTGGCTGACGCCCATGTCAACACCACAATCCTCGTTCACGCTAGTCTCTTCTCTTCCACCATCTCCTGACTGTTCCATCAGAAAGACCAGAAGTAGGTGACATCTACTGGGCAGCCAGGTCACTAAATAATTATTAATGTAACAGAGACACTGTGTTCGAGAATGATCCACTCAGCCACCCACATGAACGTTAAGGGGTTTTTTGTGCCAGGTTTTCGACCACGATTTCAAAAGGCACGTTTGCAAACAAAATTAAAATATTGAATGTGTTAATTTAAGAAAGATAGTTTAAAATGCATTTCTTACTCATTTGCTGTTTGATGGTGGCATTACACGAGCTTGGGCCTTTTTAAATAAAAAACTCTTCTAACTACAGATAACTTTTGTGTTCGCTAGGCCAATCTCATTCCCATTCTCCAGTCTGCGGAGAGGGCATACATCACGACACCATTTTGGTGGATCTAGTAGCAGCTCGATCTACGTGTGCTCGAAAGCTAGAGTATGTGATTGCTCTCCGTTGCACGAATAAGAAATTTAAAGGTTTGACACCGATGAAGTAGCTACTGGACATTTATACCACAAGTGTCATGAAAGCTGTTGTATTCATTATAAAATACTTGACACCACAATTTGTGACTGCAACTTTTATCGAAATGTCAGAGATTTCTCACTTATTTCCAAAATAGGCTATTATTTTTTTACACCTTTAAATAGCTAAGAATGAACAAACGAGTGAATCTCTATTAGCTATTCAGCCAACCTAAGGTAGCAAATCCTTCATAAAACTGATTCACTAAAAATGTCTCGACTAGGAGACACACTACCTCAAAAACACTTTATATGTAGCTGAATTCGTACCACGCACAGTTTTCTCTTTACATGCTAATCAAGGACCAAAATTACACCTAGAAGTGAGAAATCTTACGAGGAAATACGTGTTCTCATCAGTCATCTCTTTTTATCTTTTACAGGCTGGTAGAAAAGGTGATACAACAGAAATGGATGAATTCACTATTTCGAAATTTGCCTAACTCACAACCTACAAACATCATATCTTGCCCCTTGCATTCGATGAATTCAGACCAATAAGGTATTTGTTAACTGGATAAACGTTATCTGCACATTGATGCAGTAAAAGGAAAAGGGGAAGTGGTGGCGAAGTAGCAATTACTTACAAATTACACAAAACATTACAACTACGTGCCTATAATTAGTCACTAACCTCAGCTGCGCCCACGTTAAACGCGATTACGGATGTCGCCACTGCCACCTCAGCTGATAACTGAGATCGAGTGTAAATCCTCCTTGGGTCAGGCCAGAGGCAATGTTAGTAAGTTAATGCATGAAATTCGGTTCGGGGTAGACACAGCGATGGCAGGCACATATTCAGCTCCGATGCAACGGCTAGCCGTACGACTGATCTGCCTCCTCATTGTCCAGACAGATCCCGTTAGCAGCGGCAAAGACAAATGTCAAACTTTCCTAAGCGTCTAATTCAGCCGAAGCAGCTGGTAGTCGATTACTGCTCCTAAAACAGACTTCCCACCACCACAGCCCTACTTCCCGAGCGGACCTCAGATTAGTGAATCGCAGATCTCTCACTGAGCACCCAAGAGGAAGCCACATTTGGAATCAAAGGCCATTGAGGAGAAATGCAGAACTTGGCAATCTAGGGACACCTCTCGAAACTAGGAATTCCCTAGATCAAACCCTGTCAGTCATTAGTGCGTTTTATTTCGTTCTAAATGGTTATTGAAGTGCCGGATTGAGACAATCCGTAATGTAGTTTGAATAGAGCCAGGCACAGGCTACGCATTAGACAAAGAAACTACCTTTTAGTGGCGCACCAAATTCAGTGAAGTAGAATGTACAAAACTAGAAAAATCGACGTGTATTCACATGGGAGGAAAATAAGAGGCCATAAAGACGTTCGAAACTCTCAATCATGACACTGCATTATTCGCATTATCGCCATCCTCGACACTACTACCACGAGTAACGGCGGAAGCACGGCGGTCCGCTGACATCCTTTCATCAGCCGAAATCACCTGAGTCATCTCTAAGATGCACGCCATAGGCATTTTGCGCATGTCGAAGGCGATGATTTGCGGGTAGTCGGGTAGCTCGTCGGATGGAGAGAGTACATCAACCCCGCAATCCTCTCCAGGCCTGAAGTAGCGTCGCAATACCTCCGCCATCCGGAGAGCCATGCACTCATTCTCCAGACGGAGGATGCGATCGTACAATAGCTCCAACTCCTCATTGTCCAGATAGGCCTCGTCACCGGTACCTGTGGTTGTGCCGGGGGAGGCGGGAGGGGCGGCGGTCGGGCAGTCTGTAACAGGTGCTTCTCCGGACATCGGCGGTGTGGAATCCGAGGAGACAGTGGAACGCATGGGTGATAAGTGATCTGGTGCCTGAGGACGGCACGACTTCACACTCTCCATATGTTCATGTTTCTTCTCTCTGAGAATCTTCCTACTACTGCTGCTGCTACTGTCAACGTCAGTGCAGTCAGATCTGCGTTCTGGGAACAAACAACCATACTTGGCAAATAAGATTTCTCGATGATATGAAGTGTAAACTCATGATTTATAAGTACACAGCTATATGATACAAATGCCCGGTGAAGACGAATCGGAACTCAACACCATCGCGGCTTTTCACTACACTTTACTAACCCCAACAAAGTATGCCGTTTGGTTCGTGTGCGTATAACTTTACGAAGGCATGGTGGATTAGGGGAATGATTGCCTTACTCAGATCTCTTAAGGACATGTGGTCGTGAGCACTCTGTCTCGTCGAAGTAGGAGTCGGGGAGGGAGAAGAGTCGTGTTTTGAGATCCCCTGCTCCTGATTTCGATAATAGTGTTTGCCTTCCTTGCTTCGTTCCCCTTTGGACACCTTCCCCACCTTCTCAAAGGAGAATTTCTGTTGCTGTTGTTGCTGCTCTGACGACAGTGTTTGTGGTAGCGGTGACGATTGGGAAGGGCGTGGACTGAAGTGCAGAGGCAGGGGGGAAACGAGGGGTTGAGGTCCGCCATTGAGCTTGGAAATCCAAACCATCGTAGCATGCTGCGCGTCAAACTGCGGAAAATTGAAAACTTTTGTCGAATCAGGCCGGTCAGTCTTAAAGAAACAAAGGATATGGTAACATGCGCCACCCAACAACCCCCCTAGAGTGGCCCTCAACAGACTTGCATTGATAAGTTAATCTTGGCTTTCGACAGTAATGTTCCTGGTCAGTAATCTTAACTGCTTTAACAATTCTCAACCAACACGAAAATCTAAAATGCTCATCAGAGTATTTCAAAATCACTAAATAATACACAGGATGATAAACGATAATCTGATACGAATATGTAGTTCTCAAAACAAAATGCGCGATATTCATGAGCGCTTAAAATATTGAGTCATGAACCTTTAGAAATAAATAGGCCAATGCTATTGTCTTAGATAGACGTGTTTATGGACATCTACAAGTACTTCAAGTAAGTCAGATCATGTATACATGCTAGTACTTTCCTGATACAAGACATCCAAAAACGGACTCACAGACTTCTGACGCTCGATGACAGATGAAACCTTCGTCACTGGAGCTTCACCGGGCGGGAACAAGGAGCAAGAAGTGCTTTCCACATCGAGTTTGGATGAAGGAGAGGATTGGTGTAGTCGATTTCTCTCCCCCACAATTTCAAGCAATGCCAACGAGGCATGTTGAAGTTGTGAAGACACCTGAAGTCAAAACGCGACAGTGTACAGCGATAGTGAGAGAGAAGTAGGGGCTACAGAGCAAATTGTACTCACAGTGCGAGAAGTTGGACCGCTGGTTGACGACCATACCTCTGGTCGGGATCGCTGCTGCTGCTGTTGATCAAGCTCGGTTTGATGATGGTGACGATGGCGGTGCTTGTGTTTCCCTCCATTCTTCTTTTGCTTCTCTTTCTCCGCGCTCCCTTGAAGATCAGAACGAAAAAGTCGGAGAACAATGCGTTCTTTCTGCGCAGACTGAGAGGAAGGGGAAGAGTTAGTGGGAGGTGGCAATAGTGGCAGTGGGGGTGGTGCCGACATGTGCAGTGACGAAGATGTTGGGGTCTGCGGAGGGCTGTCAGGTTCTCTATGGTGCTGATTCTCCAAACGCAACTGTGCTTCGTGTTTCAGCTGGAGCTTCTTCTTGTGCTTAAAGGAAGAGGGCAGATGGCTAGGCGGATGAGCCAGAACACCCACGGGAGGCAATGAAGGCGGGTTTGAGGCGTCAGGAAGACCAAGATTGGCCAGGGCTTGAGTGCGTGATTCACGATTCGGCCGGTTTCGCAGCAAGCTGGGTGAGGCGTATTTGAGACCGGACATTCGAACTGACGGGCCCAAAACCGCCTAAAAAGACGGGACTGGTGACGCATAGATCCCAATTTGGGACCGTTGTTTATTACGGTCAAGTGGATGGTTAAAATATCACTAAGGCATTCAAACTCATGCATTACTAAAGTAGGATTTAAACACCGACTAAAATGCCAACCAAATAATAAATGCTTGCATGATTTAATAAATTAGTTGACCCCTTGGATTATCCATATGGAATTAACCACGAATGAACAAGAACATACCAGTAATACCATGGGTTGAATCCCAGCGTACTACTATATGGTTGAAATAAAGCAAACTAAAGCTGAGAGAAAGCACTGAAATTATAAATAATTAAATAAGTTGGGTAATTTTAATTAGCGCTCTTATCTGCAAGGAAAGGTGAGAGAAGAATGCTTAATTTCCCCCTCCAAAAAGCAGGTTAACAGGTAGTCGAGGAATAAAATTACCAAATTTTAAAATCGTGACTTACTACAGCTATTTCAGGGTAGAAGGAAGAGACCGTATAGTTACACTTTGAGCCCGACATCTGGATAGGTTCCACAACCTTCTGGAGAATCTCCAAAGAAGAAGCAGATTTAGGAATGGGAATCTGTTGGAAGTAAAATAGGGAAACCTGAAAGATAATGGGCACAGATGTTTTCAAGAGTATACACTCTATAGTAGCCGAATGAAACCTACACCACCATATTGAGAATAGCGAATCCATTCGTCACCGCTTTTTGGATCGAGACGTACCGTTCGAAAAGCGTGAAGCTCACGGTTATCGAACAAGGTGATGTCATAGTGTAGGTCAGTAAACACGTTCAAAAAGGACACCCTTGCAAACAGGCGAAAGCTACCAAATCCATCTTCTTCAATGGTAAAGGGTTCCTTGTGCACAACTAAGGAAATCCAAATATTTTAAAGCCAGCACATTAAAAACATTTAGTAAAATAATCTTATGCAATAAGCTGGAACCCTCATCATCTTTAGGTCAAAATGATAAAATAGGTGTTGGAAAATCGTGGCATACCCTGCCTTGGATTTTTGAAGGTTTCATGGAGTTGGAATATGACGTTATTAACAAATTCAGAGAGTGGATATTGATCGCTCCAACTTTCTACTGTACAGCGCCAGTGGTGTGTCTTGTTCGGTGTTGGATTCCGTCTTCGATACACACTGTGACCAACTTTGAAAACGAATAAAATCTAAAAACGACACATTGGGCAACGATACCATACAAAACAGCAAGCAGATTTCAGAAACAATTTTTAGTGGGGAAGAAATGAATGAATATCTATGGCATACATCAAGGCCAATCAAGTTCATTTTTATGAGCCGGTTTCATGACTGATAACGCCAATATTTCCGATATTCTCTACCTTAGCAGCTGAATTTCACAGCACAGTGCCATCTATTTAGTGGAATTGAACGCCTTTTGTCAACATATAACTGGTACATCACCAGTTCTGACGTTTAAAGGCCAAAATTAACCAGGCGTTTCAAAATCATCCTGAAGTGCGGGGTGCGGATAGTACACACATTCTTAAAAACGTGTAGCATAAGAATTGGAGTCAATTTACAAATCCTATAGTCCAATGATACAACGTAAATGTAGAGATGCACAGTCATGCCACAACAAGAAATAATCATGACAGGTTCCACTATGTAGAAAACTCAGGTGATGGAAGTTTAAGCAATTCTTGAGAGTGTTCCCACCATATGAATAGTTTTAAAAGGTGGAAAACGCGTTTGACATAATTGATTCCACTTGAAACGTATCAATGTACAGAGAACAAAATGGCGGATAATTTGAAAGAATTAGAACAACGGGGAGAAGATTGTTAAGACACTACTATGACGCCACTTACTTCAACATATTATGCACTATAAGTGAAGACCAATTACCAATCAAAACAGCTAAAGTCTATTGCATTATAGTGGAAACTAATCTAGGCGACAACGAATCCCCGTGTCTTACAAGGCGATTCACTAAACCGCTCACCTGAGCATCCATTACCGATCAAATAGCGGTCCGACCACATCACATAGATAAACAAACAAAGATCACGAACTAGACTCAGATAATGTTACTAGTTCTGTGTGACTATTATCAACAACATCTAAGTATTTGGTTTATTGGCATAAAATGGTGAGTGCACCTTCATTGAGTGTCATCTGAACGAAACATTAGTATACAATGGCATCACTACGTTCATTTGAGAGGTTTTTATTTTGACACCAATAATTAGCAATTGTGATATGCCAACTTACCTAATAGCTTTTTTAGGTAAGTAGCGGCATGCTGGGCCAATTCTGCGACTGCAGGAAATACTATTTGTACAATTCCAACGTTGTAGAATACAGGCTGCTTTCCTCATAAAATTTGTGTGATACAAGGGCGCAAAACTGAAGGTAAGATAAGAAGCAGCGATGATGCTATAGTGCACCCAAGCTACTCAAAAAGCCTATTCAATCATCCCCATGTGAGCCTATTCGTGCAAGTCACCCATAAATCTTGTTTCCAAGGCATCGTAAAATTTTGTGATGCTTTTATTAGTATCCATAGGTGGTTTCGGTTTTTTACCCCATGTAGAATTTCGCAGCCTATATGGGCGCTAACTTATTGAGGTACCAATATTTAGTTCCCAATCATGTTTTGAATTTGTGGAAGTTCGCCTCATTTTACCTGCAAAAGAGGTAAGCTTAGTGCCATGACTTAGTAAGTTTTTTGCATAAAAGAGGATTATTTTTCTAAGAAAATGACCGTTTTGATGACGACAACCCTTTATAATTGGCATTTTGTGACACAGTAGTTTTGTTTCGATGGTTAACCCGGGATTTGAATAACCACGGAATACACATGATAATTCCTACCGTGGCCAAATTCACAAGCTATCTTCGGTTATTAAATACCTGGACCTGAAACAAAGCACATACTTGGTATTCACAAAAACGGCAACAATCTGCACGTTTCTGAATAAGCACTGCAGATACGTTGAGATAATAGCGCGGAGACCTACCGCCACATTTGTGTATTCATGAAAGTAGTATGAATAGAATTCCTTTTAAATTATTGCATTTGCTGCCTTGAGCATATAAGAAGTTCTGTAAAAGTAGTTTCCCTGGCGTAAGAACACATTTAGGTCAGAATATAAGTGTAGTAAGTGGTTCACGGAACACTGCCAACATTTTAATTATACCTCAAGCCGGTCCTCTGATCATCAATTCTTTTCTTGGGGCCTAGTGACAGGGCTTAAAGAAATTAAAAGCGAATCGAGTCAGCTTCACACTTGAAAGACGCCTTGTTCTGCGCTCGGAGGCAATTTTAGGACAAAATGTGCAAATAGTGATTTAAATATTTTGATACAGACTTTCCAGAAATCCTGTTTAGCAGTATTTTCTTCGAATGCTATCCTTGTTGAACATACATAGGTGATTTTGTAAAACAATCACATACATTTCTACAATCTCTTAGAGTAAAAAGTTGACACTCATTCCTTCGACTCCTCCTGCACAGCGGCAAGTTGTTACACATGATTTATGTACTGAATCACTGTTGCATCCGAGTCTCGATCTCACATACGATGGTTCTCTCCTGTCAGTGTAATAGGCAATTAAAACTAGGACATTCCATCAAAGCATAGTAAGTGATCCATGCTACTTTCATAACCATATATATGGTCGTTCGTCACCAAGACAAGGCAAAAATTCACTGCGAATAGAGTGTTGACTCATTAGGGATCATATTTCTAGACCATCAGTGCTTATTTATCGTCCACTGCTCCTCTGTGCTCCCACTTGTTGACGTGGCTTCTAATCCTCAGTAGTAAATAAACTCGACATCTAGCTTCCTTCGAATTAAATTAAAAATCTCAGGCCATTTGTTTACCGCTGTGTTCTTTCAGCCGGGACTGTATGCAACCCAACTCTTATAATTTCTTTCTCGTTCCGAACTCCTTCAAATATCTACCGGAGGTACATACTTTTTGTTGCACAAGATCGTCTATTTTGTGTCCTTTATATAATTGCGACTTTTGAAAACTACAAAATATCTGAAAAAGTTGGCTCGAACCTCGCGTAGTTTATACTAACTTGAATAAGTGACAGTGTTTGTAAAAAGGTTGTCACCTGGCCTATGCGTCTCAATCGAACGAACATATAAGAAGAGTGCTATGAGTATTTTTCTAATTTCCCAAAAGGGACGGTTCTCGAATTCTTACATTCGCGTGATTAAACTTACCACAAAGAAGGAGTACGATACAGCTGTGCCGGGAATTAAGGTCTCCTCGTGACCTCTCAATCAAATGTTCGCTATTTACTAATTCAATGCAACATCAAATTTACTAATCCAGTATAGGTCACGGATACTACTGGTTTTAATTATTGGCTGCAACCATTGCATTGGACTACAGAGTGACATTGCCAGTAAACCTAATCTGCTTACTTAACTGCATTCAGATGCAATCACTCAGGTTACTTCATCAGTTTGTACTTTGTTGAGACGCCTAAGGTAAAACGCTACCCAGTTGGGCGGGTTAATGCGCAGAGCTGCTATCGATATCCCAACTGAGCTTTTGGGCATAAATGTGACAAAAGTGATCGCTGCCGAACAAGGTGACTAAACTCTGATGTGACCTAAGCCATTAAAGACTGAAAATTGAGGTAAATTTGGGTAAATGGTAAAACCTTTCACGTTGTCATGCCAAAGTCTCACATACTCTAAAGTTGCATTTTATTCTTGACAAGTACTGCAATGCGTTAGTTGTTTGTTTTACTCTATGTTTTGGCAAAGGGGCCACCTAAGCTATTCGCGGGGTCTCCTGACCTCCGGGCAACGCCGGTAGTCCCAAGCCCTACTGGAAATGTCGGAGAGTTACATTGGTAGCAGCAAAAAGCAAAAATCCGATCTCAAAGGACATTTATCCTAAATTCGACTATTGGGTGATAAATCTTAGCAGGGGGGAAGAAGTTCGTATTGCTGCAGATGGAAGAGTCGGCAACAATCCATAACAAGAGGGCTGAAAATGACATCTACCTTAGGCAACTACCCAGCTATTAACAACGGAAGCGACACATTAGCCATGAACCATCTGGAAAAGCTCATTACGAAGCTGTCCATAGTTCCTGCATAAAAATTTCAATTTTGTAAATCCGCGATACCTCCTCCACTTCTCTACTAGCTGGGAGGAACCCAGATAGAGATTGTTGGGCAATCCTGAAGTTAAAAACAAGTAATAAAGAGGAATAGACGCGTTATACTTCCCTTACGGAACTATGTCAGACCCATTCATTTATTATCTAACTTTGCTTTTATGCCAGTGTTCCTTTGACTAGCTATGTGTACGCATAATGGCCAGCATAATCACCCGTCCGCAAATCCAGTTCACAAGGAGAACGAAACTCCTGATCCACTAGAATTGCCACGAGGAATCAGTGACGTTGCGATCATGTATCTTCTCAGTTGCATGGATATGCGATGACTTGCATGGTTAACTCGTGGGTGTCTCCCTAATAGCATCGATTACCTTGTGAAGGCTAACGCAGGAGGTTAACCAAGGGAAGTCCCGGGGACGATGTTCAAAAGAGGAGAGGGGCTATGTACTACTTTGATTGTTCAACTTTCGGTTTGGGTAAAAAAGGCAACCTAGTTACTCCGCCATTGTATCTTCACCGGGTGGACTGGCCTAGCCCTAGTTGAAGTCTCGGGACGCTACAGCATCTTAGCATAACGGCCTTAAGTTATATGGCGTTTTTATTTTGATTTGTTAGTAAAAGCAAGTGAAATGTTTGGTTCTAAAATGTAGCTGCCGTGCTTTCAATCCTAATTCAAATAACATGGAGGAAGTACTTCTCTTTCCGCTTCTGTTCTAAAATGATAGATACAATTGGCAAAAGCAGATAGTTATCTGGGGATTTTAGTGGCAACTTTATGGTAAGTAAAGGAGAACTATGGGCAACCTAAAATTATCGTAATTTAAACCAAACAGTCTTCCATGAATTAGTGTAAACCTAATATTTTGGTGTCACGCATGGCCACTCCGGATGTTTAGTCGGCAGGTACAGTAATCGCTAGGCAGCCATCAACAGTAACTCAAGAGTTAGCACAACAAAAATGGGATACGAAAGTTATGCGAAAAACAGAATGGTCGAAGTAAATGAGTTTGGACTTTTAGACGCCATCAGACAACGCGATCACGCGTCAAACGACTGTCTCGGCATCATTACGGTCGTTGCTGTGATTGCACCAACATAAATAAGCTTTAACCTTGAGTGGGGACACGCGAGCCTGAAAATGATTGTGCGGAAGTTGCAAATTTGTTAAGAGTTCTGCTGTATTAAGCTCCGCTTTTTTACATGAGGTAATGTTTTATTCTTATAAGCACAAAATGCCACAAAACAAAGAGCGCTGAAGTACTGTGCTAAAGGATTGTAAAAAGAGCTGGATTAGCAAAGAGCAGTCACTATAAAGATACAGTAGATAAAAGGCAGTAGATTTAAATGAAAAAGAAATGGCGAGAAGGGGGGGGGGTAAAAGCAATAAAGAGCTTTTGTTTCACCCAATGCGTAAAATCACTTCGAAATCAAGTAATCGCCACAAGGTGATAAATGAAGCATGATCGGACACTTACAAAACTTTTTGTTCAATGCAACCAATAATGGCATCTGCGACTATAATGAAAGTTACATAAAAAATGACTTGTCAAACCGATGTTCAAAAAAAACCCATTTGTGCCGCTAAACCAAATATTTTAACCAACTACAAGGATGGAAACACTTCATTTTGTGGCTAGCTTAACTGCACTAAGTTAGCGGAAGTATTAATAAGGTAATAGGGCGTGATCCTTACAAACAAAGCTACCCATTTAAGTTGAAGTTTATGGTAGGCCTTAACAAAGCTTCTGCGTTTGAGCTTAGTTCGGTTTTAATTTGTGATCTACACTATGACTATTGGAAACTTACAAGGGTGTCCACCCAGCTAGTATGTACTACTTTGACTGTTTGTTTAGCCCTTCG